CTGACTTTCAAATGAATAAATAAATCTTTAAAAAAAATAGACTAGGTGGTTGTGGTGCAGCCAGTGAACCTGTTGCTTGGGACATCCACATCGCACATCAGAGTGCCTGGTTGGAACCCAGCTATTCCACGCTTGCAGTCCGGCTTCCTGCAAATGTGCATGTTAGGTCTGGAATAGCTCAGGGTTCTGGCCTTTTGTACCCCCAGAAAGGAAAGATGGAAAAAGGAGACAGAGACAGACCTCAACAGAGATAGTTCACTTTATGGGAAGCAAAGAAGGTGATGACAGTCTGTTCTTGTGAAGAGACTGTGCACTGGGTGCATTTGGACTCAGAGTTTTATCTGGTTTAGAGGGAATTTGGTGGGGGGGGGGTGTAGAAGGCAGTGGGTGTCTCTTTGAAACCTCAGGGGACTTCTTCCTTGTCTGTTTCACATGATGCTCTGTGCAGCTTTGATGCTCTGTGCAGCTTACCTGCTTTGCTGTTTGTATTGCAAGGAGACAAGAAGGGTTGGTTTGGCACTTAGGAGCTCAACAAAAGGGAGGATCTGGGGCAGAGAGGGGAAAGGAGGAAGAACAGGAGGAGGAGCAAGGTACCACAAGGCCTTTAGTGCACCCTGGGAGGCAGTATATGAATAGCCTCAGTACTTGGGTCCCTGTGATTCATGTGAGAGATCTGGATGGAGTCTCCAGCTCCTGGCTTTAGAATGATCCAGCCCTGGATATTGTTGGCATTTGCAGAGTTAACCAGTGGATGGAAGATTCTCTCTCTCCCTATCTCTATTTGTGTGTGTGTCTTTCTTTCTCTCACTCTGCCTTTCAAATAAGTAAATATATAAATCTTTAAGATAAAAAAAATTTTGAATTAGATTTTCCCTTTTCCTAATTCAAGTGATTCTATTTGGATTCGGATGGTAACTCAGAATTTTAGATTTGGCCTTCATGCCATGACTGAGTACTAGAAGTCTGAATTCTTAGCATGGGAGGTAGATGATAATGAAACTGAACCGGCTGGTCTTTGAAGTTAATTTGCCTTTGCCTGAATGACTTTATATTCAGTGATGCAAAGGTTGATTTTTTAAAATGGCATGTATAGGGGGCTGGCACTGTGGCGCAGTGGGTTAACGTCCTGGCCTGAAGCGCCAGCATCCCATATGGGGGCTCCAGTTTGAGACCTAGCTGCTCCACTTCCTATCCAGCTCTCTGCTATGGCCTGGGAAAGCAGTAGAAGATGGCCCAAGTCCTTGGGCCCCTGCACCTGCGTGGGAGACCCAAAGGAAGTTCCTGGCTCCTGGTTTCAGATTAGTTCAGTTCCGGCCGTTGTGGCCAACTGGGCACTGAACCATCGATGGAAGACCTCTCTCTCTCTCTCTCTCTCTCTCTCCCCTTCTTTCCCTCCCTCCCTCCCTCCCTCTCTCTCTGCCTGTCTTTGTGTAACTCTGACTTTCAAGTAAATAAATAAATCTTATAAAAAATAGCTTGTATAGCCATGAGGCTTCTGCCACTTCCTGTGTGATAGTACAGGTGATAAAAACAAATTAAACCAGTTTTGCATTCATCTGAAGTCTTTTTTTTTTTTTTTTTTTTTTTAATTTTTGATAGGCAGAGTGGACAGTGAGAGAGAGAGACAGAGAGAGAAAGGTCTTCCTTTTGCCGTTGGTTCACCCTCCAATGGCCGCCGCTGCAGCCGGCGCACCGCGCTGATCCGATGGCAGGAGCCAGGATCCAGGTGCTTTTCCTGGTCTCCCATGGGGTGCAGGGCCCAAGCACCTGGGCCATCCTCCACTGCACTCCCTGGCCATAGCAGAGAGCTGGCCTGGAAGAGGGGCAACCGGGACAGAATCCGGTGCCCCGACCGGGACTAGAACCCGGTGTGCCGGCGCCGCAAGGTGGAGGATTAGCCTATTGAGCCACGGCGCCGGCTCATCTGAAGTCTTGAGATGTCAGATGCATTCTTTGGAAGGAACCCCTTTTGCAAATCATTTGTTTTCTACTCCCTATGAAAATTTGCACTCAGTAGCTGCTCTATGAATGAATGGTTGTTGACAAAATTGTAAATTGCATCACTCCCCATAGCTGCCCGGGAGGCATCTCCTTTTTCGGTATGACCACTGCCCAGCAAGCTACCCTTGTCTGTGCCCTCAGTTCCAGTACTGTGTCCAAGCTCTTCTTCCCATCTTCAGTCTTCCTCAATTAGCATGTAAAAATCCAAAGTGATTGAGTGTTTCTTCCAGTATATTTCTTTTAGAGCATCATGTGTATAGGGACTGGGTCTGTTACCTTAATGACTTTGTTGTTACTCTTTTTACCTATATAAAGTGCATATATTTCTCCTGGTTTCTCTTCTTGGTTCCTTTTCAAATTTCCTGTCTCTAGGTTTTAGAATGCCCCAGGATTAGTCATTGGACCTCTCCCCTTTCTGTCCCATTCTCTGTGATCATGATTTTTTTTTAAAGATTTATTTATTTATTGAAAGGCAGAATTACAGAGAGGCAGAGGCATAGAGAGAGAAATCTTCCATCTGCTGGTTCACTCCCCAGATGGCCACAACGACCAGAGCTAGGCCAATCAGAGGCCAGGAGCTTTCTTCCGGTCTCCCACACGAGTGCAGGGCCCAAGGACTTGGGCCATCTTTTACTGCTTTCCCAGGCCATAGCAGAGAGCTGGATCAGAAGTGGAGCAGCCATGACTTGAACCAGTACCCATATGGAATGCTGGCTTCGGAGGCAGTGGCTTTACCTTCTATTCCACAATGCCAGCCCCAATCTCTGATGGTCTTAATCGTTAATCTGCATCATCTCCAGTTCTAGTTATTTGGGGATAATATATGGTTTAGGGTGGTGAAATGGGTTGAAGAGAATATCTGCTTTTGAAGTGAGAATCGATCATGATTTCACCCAGTACCAAAACTATTTTTTTAAAAAGATTTTATTTATTTATTTAAAAGGCAGAGTTACAGAGAGAAAGATCTTCGATTTGCTAGTTCCCTCTCCAAGTGGCCACAACAGCCAGAGATGGACCAGGCCAAACCCAGGAGCCTAGAATTCCACCTGGTTGTCCAACATGGGTGGCAAGGGCCCAAGTTCTTTGGCTCCGCTGCTTTCTTAGTTAGATTAGCAGGGAGCTGGATTGAAAATGGAGCAATTGGAACTTGACCCAGTGCTAGGCAGTATCTTAACCCAGTGTGCCCCAGTACCACCATAACTTTAAATACCCACCTGCGTGATAATGACTCCCAAGTGTATCTCTTGACCTCTAGACTTGAATATCAGACTGCCTACTAAACATGTCTAACATGCATTCCTAACTTGATGTGTCTCTTTTCTTATCATACCTCTTAAACAAGATCATATGTGGAATAGCTCCACCAATTGTAAAACTGTTGAAAGAGAGAAGGATGCAAGGAACACTGAATGGAAAGTAAGAAGGACCTGGGAAAGAATAATAAATTTCTCAAATATAGAGCAATCCTATAAATGCATAAATGACAATACACATTATTATGAAGAACTACTTTAATTTACTCCCATGGAGGCAACAAAAATTAGCTCCTACCATCAGTAAGAAACAAATTTGACCTGACTTACTATAAACCAGAAGGAAAAGTGCTGCTCTGTGTTAAGGACTGGGAACCAGTATTCCAGATGTCACTGAGTCACTGTGTCATTTAAGAAGGGCAACAGTATGTCTCCATTTGCCAGGAACAGTCTTAGTTTAACTCTTGGGTTAATTATTAATAGTGCCTGCTTCAGTTCCCTTAAGAGTTCCAGTCTGGATGAGAGACTATAGGGTCACCTTAAGTTAAGGTGTTTATTTCTGGCTAGTGATTATAGTATATGTAGAAATTCATACTTGATAAGAAATCTGTAAATGCTATTTGACATTTATTGAGTGTATTTTAGAACTTGACTCTGTTAGGTTTACGGCTATCAGGGTCTCAAACCTTTTCAGTCAGTCGTTAGTCATAAATGCAATTGAGCAATTTATGTTGTATTATATTTTTAAAGGATAGTTCTTAGCATTTTTAGAATCCTACACATCATTGATAATTTGATAAAGGTTATGAACCCACTTCCCAGAAGTGGATAGTGGGTAAAGCTGACGTCTGTGATGCCAGCATCCCATATGGATACTGATTGGAGTCCCAGCTGCTCCACTTCCCATCCAGCTCTCTGCTATAGCCTGGGAAAGCAGTAGAGGATGGCCCAACTACCTGGGCTCCTGGCTCCTGACTTCAGATCGGCTCAGCTCTGGCAGTTGCAGCCATCTGGGGAGTGAACCAGAAGATGGAAGAGTTCTCTTTTCTTTCTCTGCCTCTGCCTCTCTAAGTCTGCCTTTCAAAAATATAAATAAATGAATCTTGTAAAAAAAAAAAGTTCTGAATATTTTTGAAACATACTCTTACATTGCTTTTCAAAAGTATTGTACCAATTAATACTTTAATCAGTGGGGTATGATACTGCTGATTTCACCACATCATGCTTGGTTTGGGCATTATGAGTTTTTCTTTAAAGATTTATTTAGGGGCTGGCGCTGTGGTGTAACGGGTAAAGCCGCACCTGCAGTGCCAGCATCCCATATCAGCTCCAGTTCAAGTCCCAGCTGCTCCACTTCCAACTCAGCTCTCTACTATGGCCTGGGAAAGCAGCAGAAGATGGCCCAAGTGTTTGGACCCCTGCACCCATGTGGGAGACCTGAATGAAGCTGCTGCTCCTGGCTTTGGCCTGGCCCAGACCCAGCTGTTGTGGCCATTTGAGGAGTGAACCAGCTGATGGAAGATCTCTCTCTGACTCTCCTTCCCTTTCTCTGTGACTCTGCCTTTCAAGTAAATAAAATACATCTTTTTTTTTTTAAAGGAAGTATTTAAAATGTGTATATAAAGTTCTCTTGATTTTTAAAATAGTTCTAATAAAGAGCAAAATGTTCATAGGAATTTTAAGATGTCTGTCAAGAGTAATGCATTTTCATTACAATAATCTTATCAATATTTTCTTTTTTTCAAGTTATCATACACGTCGTAAGAAACTGGATCCTCCAAGGGACAGATGATACTGAGGTTCTTGGAATCAAAGAGGAATGTTATCCTGTGCCTCATTTTCCATTTGAGAAAATGGAATCTGGTATCTTCCCCTTATATGTTACATAGTAAAATGATCATTAAATATCCTTTCATGTAGCAGAATGTGTTTTTCTTTGTATATATTAAGTAATTCCAGATTTGATTCTCATTAAGAAAAAACTTTTCATCTTATTTTCTTTTTATGGTAAAGTCTATCATGTATGTGTGTAGTATGATTAAGTATTTTTACATTACCAGCCAAACATTGTTAGTCATATAAATATGGTTCAGAGAAATGTCCATGGCTCTCCTTCTGAAGGAATGCTTTAAATTGCCTTTGAGAATAAATTCACTGGGTCAACTGAGAAAATGGAAAGTAGATGCTGTAGTATTATTGGTTTCTATAAAATAATTAGATTAATTACATTTTAATCAGTTCCTACTATCTTCCAGGTCTTTTCCATTCATTATTAAATTCTCAATAAAAATCTTTTGAAATAAGTGGCATTATCTCCATTTTACATTTAAAGTTAAATGACTTAGTAAGTAAATGACTAGTAAGTGGAAGGGGCAGGATCCAAACTGTCAGGCTCCAAGTGTTTTTTTTCATCTATTATTAAGAATATGCAATCCTAGAGATTATTCAACAAAGCATATTATATAATTCAGGGAATTTTTTTTTCTTTTTCTGGCTAACTTAAAAAATATGCTAGTTTTAGGATATATACAAAGAGCTTCAACTCTGTGATTAAAATATTTTATCATACCAGTGTTAAGAGAATGTTGATAGATTGATCTGTTGTTTCTGATCAATTTATATATGATTTTTAAAGATTTATTTATTTATTTGAGAGTCAGAGAGAGAGAGAGAGAGAGAGAGGTCTTCCATCCGATGGTTCATTCCCCAATTGGCTGCAGCGACCGGAACTGTGCCAGTCAGAAGCCAGGAGCCAGGAGCTTCTTCCGGGTTTCCCATGTAGGTACAGGGGCCCAAGGACTTGGGCCATCTTCTACTGCTTTCCCAGGCCATAGCAGAGAGCTGGATGGGAAGTGGAGCAGCCAGGACTCGAACTGGCATCCATATGGGATGCTGGCGCTTCAGGCCAGGGTGTTAAACTGCTGCGCCACAGTGCTGGCACCCCCTCCCTTTTTTTTTTAAGATAGCTTATATATGATTCTAATAACATGGCTGCCCCCTACAGTTTCTATTTAGGAGGTTTGGGCATCTTAAGAAAATGGAGAAGTGTATTATTCAATTTGTGTTATAAAATACTTGCAATATTTCTAGAATTGATGAGAAAAATACTTTTTCATTCAAAGTCTGTTGTTTAGTGGTGTTTTTCTAAATAAAGGAAATCCAGATGAAGGTTCAAGTAACCAATAAAATGTAAGAAATAGTGAATAAGAAAGAGTTCAGGAAATATAATGGTGACCTTCTGCTACCCAAAGGAAATGGTTTTAAGAATTTTATTTTTTTTTACTAGTATTAATTTTTTAGAAAGATCAAAGAAAAACCATTCATACAACTTGATAAACAAAAATATTACCATCTGTGTTGATTACATGTCCTTGAAAAATTTTTTCTAAGTTAATTTATTCAAAATTTTACAAAGATTGAGCTCTGTTGTAGAGATTGAAAGTGTACAAAACTAAACCAAAACAAAATGACGAAAGTTTTCCTCTAAGCACAAAGATCTACTAAATAGAGATGTTGCCTAAACTGCACACTCACATTGGTACTTTGTGTTTGTTTTTCTTTTTTTAAAGATTTTATTTATTTCTTTGAAAGACAGAGTTAGAGAGAGAGAGAGAGAGAGAGAGAGGAGAGGTCTTCCATCCGCTGGTTCACTCCCCAGATGGCCGCAACGGCTAGAGCTGCGCCAATCCAAAGCCAAGAGCCAGGAGCTTCCTCTGGGTCTCCCATGTGGGTGCAGGGGCTCAAGGACTTGGGCCATCTTCTACTGCTATCCCAGGCCATAGCAGAGAGCTGGATTGGAAGAGGAGCATCCGGGACTAGAACCAGCACCCATATGGGATGCCAGCGCTTCAGGCCAGGGCCTTAACCCACTGAGCCACAGTGCCAGTCCTATCATGTTGGTAATTTGGAGAAGTAACTTTAATTTTATTGTATTCGAAGTATAGATAGTTTTTTTTTTTTTTTTTAAGGTTTATTTATTTATTTGAAAGGCAGAGTTACAGAGAGGCAGAGAGAGAGAGAGATCTTCCATCCACTGGTTCACTCCCCAATTGGCCACCATGGCCAGAGCTGCACCAATCCAAAGCCAGGAGCCAGGAGCTTCTTCCAGGTCTCCCATGCAGATGCAGGGGCCCAAGCACTTGGACCATTTTCTGCTGCTTTGTCATGCCATAGCAGAGAGCTGGATTGGAAGTGGAGCAGCCAGAACTCGAACTGGCACCTATATGGGATGCTGACACTGCAGGCAGCGGCTTTACCTGCTATGCCATGGCACCAACCCCTAGATGGGTATTAATTTTGTTAAATAAGCATATTCTATCTCAGCATCTCACGTCATCACAAATGTGTGCAGTGTCAGTGTGGTGCACACAGCAGAGACATCAGCACAGGCATGTGCAGTGTCATTCCAGAGATAGGAGCCTATTATCCACCATCACCATTTTATGAAAGATCCACTTATTTAGCAGGTATCTAAAAATTATAAGAAGTCATATTATCCTTTATATTAGCGAACTTAACATCGTGAAAAAACCCATTGCCTAGTTCCTGTTCTCATGTTTCTATCAGTGGGATAGATGAACACATCCCAAATTGAGGGAAATAAAAAAAGCATTGTTGGTGAAACCACCAGAGGGCACTCTCACATAGGGTTCAATTTGAACATCCCTCACCCAAAGCTGGTGACTTCCCCCTACCCCCACCAATAATGGTATTTGAGAATAGCAGAGCATAACAATGAGAGTATGAGTGCTAGAATAAATTATCAGTGTTTGGCCTGGGCCAGGACAAGGCCAGGAGCCAGGAGCTTCTTCCAGGTCTCCCACTTGAGTGGCAGGGGCCCAAGCACTTGGGCTGTCTTCCCCTGCTTTGGTGCATTAGCAGGGAGCTGAATTGGAAGTGGAGCAGCCAGGTCTTGAACCTGTGCCCATATGGGATGCCGGTGTTGCAGACAAAGGCTTAACCACAATGCAGGCTCCAAGGGGTGCTCTTAAATTGTTTTAAAACAAAGAGAAGATTGGTTACTGGGGCTTATCACAGGAGTTGATGTTAGTTGGTATAGTGTGTCAGTCAAGTGCTCTGGCATTTCCAAGTTAGCTGTCCTTTCAGTTAGTAGCAAGTTGCAGTTTGGAAAGTCATCTGCAAAAGTTCTTTTTGTGTAGTGGTGGTAGTCTTGTAAGATTGTGATTCTGACAGAGTCTGTTGTGAGTTAACTCTCAAGAAATCATGGATAAGAACCCTTCCTTCACAACTTCTTGGCTCTATTTATGTTAGGTTTGACTCAAGGGACTGCATTTTGATTTTGACAATTTTCACAGTCCTCTCTCAAGGGAAAAGTCTAGTATTAGAGATGAATTCCCTAAACAGTCTTTTTCTTAGCATTTGTAGGTGGATAAACAATGTGTCTTCAAGGGAGTTTGTATCATATGATCATAAGGGCTGTGAGGCCAGCGCTGTGGCTCACTAGGCTAATCCTCCGCCTGTGGCGCCAGCATACCGGGTTCTAGTCCCGGTCAGGGTGCCGGATTCTGTCCCGGTCGCTCCTCTTCCAGTCCAGTTCTCTACTATGGCCCAGGAGTGCAGTGGAGGATGGCCCAGGTGCTTGGGCCCTGCACCCACATGGGAGACCAGGAGAAGCACCTGGCTCCTAGCCTCGTATCAGCGCGGCGCGCCGGCCGCAGCACGCCAGCCATAGCGGCCACTTGGGGGGTGAACCAACTGCAAAAGGAAGACCTTCCTCTCTGTCTCTCTCTTTCTCACTGTCCACTCTGCCTGTCAAATAAATAAATAAATAAATAGATAGATAAATAAGGGCTATGAGAATATCTTTGGCTAGGGGACACAACGATTTCTGAATGTTTGCTAATTTTAATGAAGGATGTTATTTCCCTCAGGGGGTAGTAGCTTTTTAAAGTGCTTAATTAGCAAGAATTTGGATGTTCCTAAGTTGAGAATGATTGGTAAACTGCATAACAGTAATGAAGTAAATCTTTGAATTTTGAAAACATTATTCATTCTGTTGGTCCCTTCATCAAATATGTACAAGCTTCCTAGTACATGTCAGGAGGTCTGTTTTAGTTGACTGTTGGGAAAAAATGGTCCCTGATTAAGGACCATACTACACACTGAACTAATATCTAGTGAGCTATTTAATGTTTCTGATGACCTTGTTTTCCAACAAGGAAAGTAATTGTTATTATTTTTAAAGATTAGAAACTAGGGGCCAATGTTGTGACATAGCTGGTGGGACTGCTGCCTGCAACGCTGGGTTTATGTCCCAGCTGCTCCACTTCTGATCCAGCTCCCTGTTAATGTTCTGGGAAAGCAGCAAAAGATGGCCTAAGCCTCTGGGCCCCTGCCATCCATATGGGAGACCTGGATGAAGCTCCTGGCTGCTGGCTTTGGCTTCACCCAGCCTTGGCCACTGTGGCCATCTGGGGAGTGAACCAGCAGGTAGAAGATCTCTCTCTGTCTCTCCCTTTCTCTCTGTAAACTCTGACTTTCAAAATAAATAAATCTTAGTAACAAAAAAAAAAAAGTACAGCATTATAGTAGGGTGGAATAGAAACTTTCAATTTAGTCAGCTACTCTAAATATTGTATATGTCCCATTTAAAAGAATATAAATTGAAAATGAATGTCAGGTTCTAGCTTAAATTTCACTTCCAAGAGGCCTATTATTACAGTTTGTTTCCTTTGCAGCACATTCCCATAATGTTTCCTCTACCTTCCCCAAAACATTCTTCATGTGTCAGCTAAAATTTCACTCCTTTAGAGGAGCTACTAGATTAGGTTAGTGGTTGTATGGAACACTGTCTCTTTACAACACTTATGGTATGAAATTACTCATTTTTTATGTGACTTTGATAAATGTCCGTTTCTCCTACTGTACTATAAATGCATGAGTTGCAAAGAACCTGTCT